GTGATCACAAGCCCGACCGTCGCGAAGTGCACATGCCACTGCTCGGAACTGGGCACCGTTGAATCTTGTGGCGGCCCAGGCCCAGGCGCTGGCGCCGCTCCGATGGAAACGGCGTCCGCATTGACGGATGACTGCATATTGTACGTCTGCGTGCTGGTCCAGAAAGATGCCGCGCATCTCATCGGTGTCCACGTCTATTCCCGTGATATCTGACACGGCACGCATATCCGACGGAAGTTGCGATGGTGCCACGGCAGGCGGACCAGCCGCAAGCACGTCGATCGCCTGCTAGGCGCGCTCACCTCGGGGGGAACGTCGCCGCCCCGCGCGAGCGTCGCGCTAGGTCTCCAATCCAACCGAAGGAGACAGCCGGATTTACATCGCAGAGGCCAGGTCGCGCGCGACATTCGTCCTGACCGCTGCGGTAGGCACTTCAGCTAGGGGCTCGCATCCGCGGCGCGGCGCCCTGTCTGACAGGGCAGCTCGTGCAAGCTGGCCGTGCCGAAGAAGTGCGAATTGACCGAAGCCGCTCACGCGTGGGATAATGTTTCGCTGGTCGTCGGGGACTGCAAAACGTCCCATGGGCGGGGCGGTGGCCCCCGCGCTGCGCCGCGCTGCGCCGCTGGTCAACGAGGCCCGCGTCGCGAGGGCCCCGCAGAGCTGCTAGTCCTCAGCCACGCGCCGGCTGAACCGCGCGCCCCGAACGCGGCCGCGGTCGGCTCCGCGGCGGCGGCGGCCATGCGCGGGAGAGGCGGCAGCAGTGGCATGCGCTGCGGCCCTGATTTTGGCGCTGCAACGTCGATCATGCGAGGTCGCCGCGCGCGCGATGACGGCGCGCGCGCCGGCGGGCGCGTGGCTCAGGGCCGCGGCAAGCGAGGTTGTAGACCTACCAAGAGCCGTCGACGGACGTCGGCACAGGCGCGGCTTTTGACCCCGGCCGCCGCCGAGGAAGGCCCTCAGCGATCGTGAAGGCAACTCCGCAGACGTTGACCAGGGCGCCCTGGCATACGGCGCCGCGCGCGGGCCGGGAGTCCGAGCGCCCTCTGGATTGACCGCCGCGGCCGCTGACGCGCGGCGGCGACGCAGCGCCTCGGGGGCGCTCGGCGCGAACATGGTCTCCACTCCCACGAATGCAAATCGCCATGGCGGCCCTGTCGCACACCCGGGAATTGCGGCGCCCACCTTTCCCCGCGCCCGACGAGCGCGCGCCCCTGCCGCGTCAGCTTCTAAACCAAAGAAAATATACACTAGAGTGTCTGAGAGTGCAGTAAGACATGCGCACTTCTTGGCGACTTTGCCTGCGCCCTTGCCAGAGAGGGCGCTGTTGTTCTTCCCGATGAACCTGCGCGCCTTATCGCAAGACGTCGCGCGCGCGCGTGCGCCGCTAGCGTTTCGCCGCCTTCTCTTTCTAAAACATATGGGGAATCGATCAAGGCAGGGCGGAAACCTTAGAACGCTGGAGCTCGGTCGTTAACTTCCCCGCCTGGATCCACGCCGGCGCCCGAGGATGCCCCGCCGGCGCGGTCGGCCACGTCCGCGGGCGCCCGGGCGGCAGCGGAACATTCGAACAGCGGCGGCGCGGCGCCCTGCGACGGGCCGGCGGCGAGCGTTGCAACGCTTCCCGCGCAGAGGCGCTCGGCGGCGCCGGCTGCCCGGGGTCCGAGGCCCTGCTTGCGCCGGGGATCTGTAGAAGGTGCGCTATGACAGTTGGCGTCGTTCGTCTGTCGCGCCCGCGACGCCTCCGAGCGACGGCGTCAAACGGAGGTCGCGGGTGATGTCGTCTGGCGCGCTTCGCGATGTGACCCGCGCGCTTGGGCGTAGTCTCCAGACTGTTGAACTCGCGCCCCGTGGCTGGGCACCGGCTGGCGCGGGGGTTGAACGGCGCCATGAATTTTGGCTAGGCGCGACGCCGTCTGCTTGGAGGAGCAGAGACGTCGCAGCTCATCCGTCGCGCGTTGCTGGACACCCCAGCGCGGCAAAACGCGAGAGCAGCGCATCCGCGGTCTCGCGGCGGCGCGCAAAGAACTCGCGCAGATCGCTGGCGGTCTGCAGGCGCGACTCTTCGCCCAGGGAACCGAACTGAATGGCTAGGTTCCCGATGAGGTAGATCGCTGCGTTCTCGCGCCGGCCGTCGACCGCGCCCCGCACCGTTATCTCCGCGAAGCCCATGGAGCGCGCGAGCTCGCGAGCGGTTCCGCCGAGTCTGGGGATGACGGCAGCGGACGAACGTGCTCCAAGCGAGCAAGTCCTGCGCCCATGGGCGGAATAAACGCACCGGCTCGCGCTCGGGCGACCATGGCGGCGACTGGCGAATGGCGATTTCAACGCGATGGCCACCGCCGCCCCGCGGGCCGGCCCCGCCAGACACCCTGCGGGTGAGCCAGAGAAGGGCGGCCACGAACAACGTGAAGATGCTGCCTCAGCGCGTCAATAAAACTCATCCGCGAAGAGAACTGCGGAGGCGGGCTCGGGCCTGCACATGGACGAACTCGGGGGCAACCGCGGCAATGCTGACAATCGTGGCCGAATCGACGGATGGCGAGACTGGCGCGCGACATTCGATGGCCCACCCGAGTGGTGCGACACGCCCGCAAAGACGGCTAGCACTGGCGCGAACCTCGCGAGGCGCTCTACGAGCCCAGGAAGAACCTCGCTGTCATGGCCGATGCGAAAGTGCGGCCTGTAGCTGCGGGGACAGATGGGTCGCAGGAGCGTCGCGGCGTTTCTGCGGGCGGTCGCTCAACATCGCGTCGCCTGCAGCGGCTGAAGCCCTCGCATTGGATGGTCATAGGAACTAGAACGATGCTGAATGTCTGCGTGCGACCTGCGTGCGTCCCGCGAGAATTCCCCGCGGGCTTGCAAAACGGCCGTGCGCAACGTGTTCGGGAACTGGACAAGGGACAGGCGAAGGGACACATGCGAACGGAGGCGAAGGGACATGCGAACGCGCGTCAACATCGCATTCTGCGCAAGTTCGGTAGACCGGGAGTTGGGATGGCTCCCAGCTCCGCTATCTCCTAGCATCGCAGGAGGGCGGATGCTTGACGAGAGACGAGAAGAAGGAGGACGAACACGAAAACAAAGGTGGGCAGAGGGACGAGAAGGAAAAGGGGGAGAGGAGAAGGAGGGCGAAAGAGGAGGAAAAGGAGTAGGCGGAGGAGGAGGATGAGGCGGAAGAGGAGGGGAATGGGGGAGTCATGAAATCATGGGTCCACGAAGTGTGCGGTGCGCACCGCACGCAGGCGGGACGCAATGGCAGGCAACGGGCGCCCCCGGCCTCCCCCTTCACGGTAGGAAGCAGACTCGAAAGCACGCACACCGACAAACAGCCAATAGGCAGCTGCCTCGCCGCCCAGCGACATGCCTCCAGCCGACACGTCGTGGTGCTTAAGGGGGCGGTCAGTTCACCTCGTCACTGCGACGTACGTTCCGAATACCCACCCCTGCCCAATCAGCTGGCATGCGCAACGAGACTGCTATCCAAGGCGAGCGGGCGCAAAACCACCATGGGACTAATAACTGGCCACATGGCCCCGCCTCTTAGACAAATGCGCAATCCCACGCGCCTGGTACCCACCTCCAGGTCACGGAGCGTGGCTAGCGCCACCGCCACGGGCAAATGCCACGCGGCTGGTTCGAAGAGGCGCGAGCCGGTTTAGCTGCCCCCACTCGCCGCCGGCAGTCGACTTTGACGGCGCGCCCCGAACGGTGTGGCGCTGACACCATGAGGAGGAAGGGGGAGGGAGGGAGGAGGGACGGAGGAAGGAGGGGGAGGAAGGAAGGGGGGACGGGGGCGGGGGCGCGCGTGGAGGGCTGGGGGAAAGTGGAAACTCCACGCGCCGCGCACGCCGAGAGAGGGGGGGGAGAGCCAGCGGGAGAGGGAAACGAAAAACGGCGGCGGATGAGATGTGCGGGGAGGGGGGCCTCCTTTTTTACGTTCGACTGCAGTCGCACCCGTATTATAACAAGGATGCGCGGTAAGTATGCATCGGCCTTGGATGGCCGTGTCTAGACCTTGCGAGCGGGGCGCGGCCAGCGAGAGCGACCCGGGATGGGCCGAAGGGGATGCATGCCAGGGTAACCATGGAAAGTTGCTGATCCTTGCTATGAGGGTTGACTGCAACTTCAGCTGGAGGGCTGTAACGTTCATCGGGTCTGCAACAAGGTTGGCCGACTCAGCGATGTCAGCAGAGCACATCAGGCGGCGGACTGGCTCTACAGAGGAGCAAAGACATCCAGAGGCGCCGCCAGAGAGGGGGCCCAGCGCCGATCCACGGAGTCCGCGCGAGACTCCGAACGCTTACGTGTGCGCCCGTTCTTGCTCCTCGATCCTCCTTCTCCCTCCCGCCCTGCTCGGGAACAGGTGCTGGGCAGCGTGTGTGGGGGTGGGGGTACCCATCGGTCGGAAGAAGTAGGTAGAAACATGAAGTAGGAAGGCGTTTGAAGTAAACTGGGTCTCCGCACGCCTCCTGAAGAGGAAGGAAGAGGGAAAACCACTCGACTCTTGAAGTAGGAAGGCGCTGAAAGTAGATTGGAATCTGGGAGAGAATCCAAAAATACCTACTTTCAACGACCGATGGGTAAGGGGGGGGCAGGTACGCGGACGCAGGGGCAGCAGCAGACAGGGCGCCCCCCCGCGGGGAGGTCGCACGACGAGTGCCGCGAAGCTCCTAGGCCCGCTGGCTTCGAGGGGTGGCCCGATCAGACACGAGAGGCTGCAGGACCGAAGGTGCTCACGTAGGTTCACACACCGGACGATAGCATACTCCAGATTTCGTAATAAAGGGAGGGGGGTCTCATTTCGGGGGGGGTCTCTTCCAGGCTATCTTGGAGGGCCTGGAGGGGTCTGGGGACGATGTTTTGGAGGTTTCTCCCACGGGGGGGGTTTGAAATGGCTTGTCTTGGAGGGTCCAGACCCCCTCCCTTTTATTACGAAATCTGGAGTACCCGTGCCACATGGCCAACATGCATAAAACGCTTCCACACATAGAGACCCGCTCCTCTCTTCTCTTCTGCTCTGTCAAGTCTGTCAAGATCTGCCAGAACGCGTCGTCAACCACGGACCGCTCCAGCAGGCTGTTACTCCTCCATGGTCATTGCACGCAGTGCAAATTTGAACGGCGGGTGTATCAAGACAATACGAAACAAGAGCAGACATGCGGGATGTGGAATTGATGGGTGGGTGATGGATGGAGGGGGAAAGCGGAGAGATAGAGAGAGAAAGGAAGGCACATGAAGAGAAGGTGCGATACCGCCCTACCTATACGTATACAGCGAGAGAGATAGAGAGAACCATAAAGAAATCCGCCGGCCCCCTTGTGGGGCCACCAGGCTGTAGGCGCGGGTTCGCAGATTCCAGTACCAGTTGTAGCTTGTAGTTTCCAGTGTTACAGTTCTGCTTCTTGCTGGTTACTGCAACTAATTGACTGACCGCGCGAGGGGGGGGAGGCCCAAACAAGACTTGTAGCACCCCCTGGGCGCGTTGTCTGAATTGCTGGGGGGGCTCGAAATCGACACCCCTCACGCAGATCCGCGGGGTCAGGGTCCAAAAACACATGGGATTTGCCACATTTCTGAAATTCGGTGCCACCCCTCACGCAGATCCGCGGGGTCAGGGTCCAAAAACACATGGGATTTGCCACATTTCTGAAATTCGGTGCCACCCCTCACGCAGATCCGCGGGGTCAGGGTCCAAAAACACATGGGATTTGCCACATTTCTGAAATTCGGTGCCACCCCTCACGCAGATCCGCGGGGTCAGGGTCCAAAAACACATGGGATTTGCCACATTTCTGAAATTCGGTGCCACCCCTCACGCAGATCCGCGGGGTCAGGGTCCAAAAACACAGGGGATTTGCCACATTTCTGAAATTCGGTGCCACCCCTCACGCAGACCCAAATTCGGTGCCACCCTCACGCAGATCCGCGGGGTCAGGGTCCAAAAACACATGGGATTTGCCACATTTCTGAAATTCGGTGCCACCCCTCACGCAGATCCGCGGGGTCAGGGTCCAAAAACACATGGATTTGCCACATTTCTGAAATTCGGTGCCACCCCTCACGCAGATCCGCGGGGTCAGGGTCCAAAAACACATGGGATTTGCCACATTTCTGAAATTCGGTGCCACCCCTCACGCAGATCCGCGGGGTCAGGGTCCAAAAACACAGGGATTTGCCACATTTCTGAAATTCGGTGCCACCCCTCACGCAGATCCGCGGGGTCAGGGTCCAAAAACATAGGGGATTTGCTACATTTCTGAAATTCGGTGCCACCCCTCACGCACATCCATCGCAAGGTGTGGTAACCCAAACTGCGAGTACTCCCTCGGCCCTTTAATCCCAAGGTGTGGTAACCAAGCTCGTAAACCATACACGTCTTACCAATCGCCCTGTGTGGTAACCCCTCTTGTGATCAGTTGGTTTTGCCGATTGCGAATCGGCCTCGCATGAAGTTCCGATACTGCTGCACGACAGCGCCAAAGCCTCATGACTTAGCTCTTCCATGGCCCATTCTCCGAGAGAGGGGGCCGGCGGCAGGGGGCGAAGCCCTTACGGATTATCCCAGTGCGACCCTACCTAGGAGTTGGAGCCTGTTAGGAAAGCAACATTATATATAGCAGCAGCAATAGTGGATGCTGTGCTGCGCTATGCTTTGCTATGCTATGCCATGCTATGCTATGCTATGCTATGCTATGCTATGCTATGCTCGGCTCTGCTATGCTATGATATGCTATGATGTGCTATGCTATGCTATGCTATGCTATGCTAGGCTATGCTATGCTGCGCAATGCTATGCTGGGCTAGGCTAGGCTATGCTAGGCTATGCTAGGCTATGCTCTGCTATGCTATGCTATGCTATGCTGCGCTGTGCTATGCTGTGCTGTGCTGTGCTGCGCTATGGTATGTTATGCTATGCTATGCTGCGCTATGCTATGATATGCTGGGCTATGATATGATATGATGTGCTCTGCTCTGCTATGCTACGCTATGCTATGATATGATGTGTTCTGCTATGCTAAAGCTCAGCGAAGCTAAGATGAAGGTAAGCTACGCTGAGATAAATCTGAGCTAAGATGAAATAAGCTAAGCTAAGATGAGATAAGCAACGCTAAGCTAAGGGGACGTAGCTGGGGGAACCGCGGAGCGGATGCCGGGGGAACCGCCCGGGGCGGGGAGCACTGCCCGGCCCTTTTAAGCCCACAGGGTAAGAACCCTTCTAGGCAGAGCCCAGGTGGGGAATAAGATACAAACATGAAGAATACCGTGTGAAAGAAACAACGAACGAGATAGAATGGGGGGGTCTGTCGACTCCCGCTTGCCAGGGGTGGGAAAGCGTGTGAGATGTTTGGCAATCCACCTCTCCCGCTCCGAAAATCCCATTCGAGAGGGGGGGGCAACTCGTCAATGCACTTCCTGGACATTAAGCAAGATGGTTCTCAAACCTGCAAACAGGTGCCAGGGCTTCCACGGGTTACACGAATGGAGGACGGATCGATTTTTGAAATCCGACTCCCAACAACGCGATGCGCACGGTAGCACCGAGAGCTTACATCTACTTCACGGATGGAGGGCAGTCCATTTCAACATGAACCACTGACGGCCAAAAGCTTGGACTTGCAGAAGCACGCAAATACAACAGAAGGGCGGCGTTCATCTGTGTGACTCCCGATCGAGCCCTCCTCAAATCTCTCACGGCCAGGAGTTTAATATGACTCAACAGCTACACGGATGGACGGCGCATGCTTTGCGAGACAGGGCTTAAGTCGGGCCTGTCCCCCCAGATACAGGGGATGTTGGAGGATACATGAGAAATAATCATGGCCAGACCATAATCCGAGAATAGTCCCCGGGTTATTGTTTTGATCATTGTTGAATATGCCTCCTGTAGAGGGACAGGCCCGACTTCAAAACAGGGCTCTCGGACGACGCGTCATCCAACTGTCTCGGGTCAGGCGAAAGGGGGGGATAGCAAAGGGGGGGTTTGAGCATCAGCCCACGCAGCTGACTTTCCCGGCGCCTCCCGGCGCCGGGGGCGGCCACGTATCGAGGAATGGGCCCCTCGGTGGGGCCGAAACCAGCTGCAGCAAATTTCGTGCCCCCCCCTTTGCCAATCCCCCTCTTTCGTCCGGCCCGACGTGAAGGGGCCCTGGGACACACAAATAAATACACACAAATCACAGAATTCCCCATATGTTCCCATATTTTCTGGGGTTTTGTCTTCCCCTCCAATTCCCTGATTTTTCCAGATTTTCCTGGGAGACGACGATTAATTGTGTCTGTGTGTTTTTGTCCCCTCCTGACGACGGTCCGATCGCACCCCGCGGCATAATCGTTTCTTGCCGCCCGAAGGCGGGAGGGCGGACCTCCCTCCCTCAACATTGATGGGCCTGTTTTCCACCACCGCCACTATAGGTTGGAGGGGGGGAGGAGGAGGAGGAGGAGGAGGAGGAGGAGGAGGAGGAGGAGGAGGAGGAGGAGGAGGAGGAGGAGGAGGAGGAGGAGGAGGAGGAGGAGGAGGAGGAAAGGGAGGCGGAGGAGGAGGAGGAGCAAGAGGAGGAGGACGAGAAGGAGCAGGAGGAGGAGGAGGACGGGGAGGACCCCCTCCGCCTCCAACTTATGGTGGTGGTGGTGGTGGAAAATATGCCCATCAAACATGTGGCTCTCGCCTGACTGCCAGGCTGGCCAGGGCGCTCGTCCAGCGGGGTGGCGCTTGCACGCTGTGACTGGGAATGCCTGTAGCGGCTGGCGGGGGAGGGGATTTCGGGACGAGAGGGATGCACTGCAGCACCGTCGATGCATGCTGGGTTTCTTCTGGTCCTCCTCCTCCTCCTCCTCCCTCTCCTCCTCCTCCTCCTCCCTCTCCTCCCTCGTCCCATGTCGTCCTCGCTCCTCCTCCTCCTCCTCCTCCTCCTCCTCCCCCTCCTCCTCCTCCTCCTCCTCCTCCTGCTCCTCCTCCTCCTCCTCCCTCCTCCTCCTCCTCCTCCTCCTCTCCTCCTCCCTCCTCCTCCTCCTCCTCCTCCTCCTCCTCCTCCTCCTCCTCCTCCTCCTCCCTCGTCCCCTGTCCTCCTCGCTTCTCCCTCCGACCTGCTCTTCACCTCATCCGCTTCCTGGCCCTAGAACCCCTCTGGACCCCTCCGACACCCCACGCAACCCCTCCCCGCTCCACCTCCCGCTTCCTCGTCTTCCTCCTCCCCTGGCGAGGAACTCCGCAGGGAACCCCAACAACTGCGACGATACGTCTCCCAGAGGCTCCCGACACTGCTTACATATATATATATATATATATATATATATAGAGATATAGATATAGATATACTAGAACCATCGCGCGCGTCGCGCGCGTTCAAATTGTAGCTAGGGTCATGATCATCGTCATCATCATCCTCATCCCCGTCATCTTTATCGTCATCGTCGTGGTCACCTTCACCATCACCATCGTGATCACCATCGCCATCATCGTCATCGTTATCACCATTATCATCAGCATCGTGATCACCATCGCCATCATCGTCATCGTACTTTTCAGCATCATCATCATCCGCATAATCAACATCTTGTTGGTCGTCGTCGTCGTCGTCGGCATAGCCATCGTCATCATCATCATCAGCGTCATCGCCGTAATCATCCCCGGTCAACTGCAGACCCCTCGCCCTCCTCCTCTTCCCGTTCTCCCTCTTCCCATCATCGTATGTCCACCCTTTTCCTCGTCGGCGTGTCCCTGAAAGGGATCCCCGCCGCCTTCACCTCCTCCTCCTACTCCTCTTCTGTCCTCCTCCTTTTCCTCCTCCTCCCTGTCTTCCCCACGCTTCGGTGTGTCCCTCCTTGTGTTCCTTCACCTGATGCACCTCCTTCCTCCTCTCGAGCCCTCTGAATCCTGCGCTCCCCTTCCCTCCTCGCCCTCAGCATTCCTCCCCGAGCCAGAAAATCAGAGACCAAGATAATCTTACAAGACCAACATCCCTCCTCCTCTTCCCCCTCCTTTTCCCCCTCTTCGCCCTCCGAATCTTCCTCCCCCTCTTCCTCCTCCTCCTCCTCCTCCTCCTCCTCCTCCCTCGTCCTCCTCCTCCTGCTGCTCCACCTCCTCC